AAAAAATTTATATTTCAATAGAGTACTATTCGGTACGGTATGGTATTGACCGGTATCAAAATCTTGATACCGCTACCATACCATACTCGATTGGTACGGTACGGTACGGTACCGAATATCTATCGGTACCAAATGAAACGGTATGAAATCGGTACGGTACGGTGCGGTTAGGGTACGGTTTCGGTATTTCGGTTTAAGATGCCCACCCCTACCTATAGGTTACAAGCACTAATTACAAATACTTAGTGCATAGATTACATAAAATCCAACGGTGGAATACTAAGAGGTATGGTGGTCATCCACCAACTCACGCATTTACAACACTCCCCCTTGGATGTCCACCATACAATGACATAGTTCCCTCATTAAAAACCTTGCTTGGAAAACTCAGTGGGACAAAACCAAAGCGAAGGGAAAAAGAGTGAAACTTTCTTGTGGATCATTGATATGATGTTGGATACGCTTATGTTGCCTCGTTAAAAACTTACTAGGAAAAACCTAATGGGACAAAAACCTAGTCGAAGGGAAAAAGAGTACAACGCACATATGTCCTCTATGTAGTAGAATTGGGATGCTCCCCCTGATTGATATCTCCCCCTGATTAATATCTTCCCTTCTCTGATTTGAGCAATACAAGCAACATTGTCTTCATACATGATCGTCTATCACACTATTCGACCTGCTTTTCACTTTTCAAATGATTGAAATCTTTAGGAGCATCAACAACTAATTTAATAGTTAGAATATGTTACAACAATATCAAATTTGAATTTAAAATACTTAAACTCTTAATTAAGAATATTGTGGTACTTTATATCCTTCAAGGGGTCACTTCATCCATATATCTCAAGTATTTCATGAGCTTTGAGGATTTCCATGTACCATATAGTCTTAATAAATATGCATTTAACACATGCTATATGTTTCGCGTTAAAATAACAACTGCACTTATAGAAATGTGGATGCATCTACAATGAGATGGGAGACTAAAACTATGTCTCTACCAGGAAACCTTATGTCATATTAGTGATTTTATTTCACTTCACAAACACCAATTCATAACCTTCATACTTAACATTTGTAATTTGGTGTTTGAGTTATAGATTCAATATCCAACCCTTCTTAGTTAGTGATAAATGGAATTGCCATTTCCATTTTTGGCCAATCACTTAACTTGTCGACATTCATGAAACGTGATTTAATATAATCATAGCCCTTGCTGATTGTAGTAGTTACTAATAAACCAATGTATCATCAATTCGTGATCCCACAATTCTCACGTGCATGCGCATGCATAATTTATAAGCATCTCATTGCTTTGGGGTACCAATGCCTCTTCAGGGGCTAATGTTGTCACTTATGGGACAAACATCTCTTTTACGATGAATTAATTAGAATATGTGGATCATAACCTCATATAGAGCGTTATTTTTGATAGGGCTTGAATTTTTCAAATAATCTCCATTTCTAGGGAGTTAAGTTTTTAGAACCTATATTTTTGTCATACTCCATGCATGCATTATATATAGTCACTTATTGCCATGTTAATGGATTGTGATACATGAATATCAATCCATGCTTGCATATTCATAACTTTATATATGCATTATCTTGATCAGACAAAAGCGGACCAATTCAACAATATTTCACGACGTTCCTCAGGAATTGTCATTTCTCCCCCTAACGGGAGGAAAATTGTCTCAAAATATAGGAAAATAAACTCACCATCATTATCAATTCAAATTGACTGGAT